CCCTAATTAATCGCGCGCGCCAGATCTGGGGGCGGCGCCGCCGAAGCGCTTGACCGCTCGCTCTGCGCGCGCGTCGCACAACAAAGAAAGTGAGAAGAAAAGGCGCGCGCGAGTGGCCCGCGCGGCACTATTGGCGCAGATCGCGCGCCCCCCCCCCCAGCGCGCGCAAGGGCGCTCGGGTGAGTTCGGCATTCGGCGCGCGAGGCTCGCTGGGCAGAGTGCCGCGGCAAGTTTCGGAAATCATGGTTGTCTTAAGAATTCGCATGAGCTTGCGCGCCGAGTTTATTGTTGTTGCCCGCGTTGCACAACCATGAGCTTCCTGTATGTTTACGGCACGCTCGTTTGGGATATCCTCGCGAGTCCCAAAGGCTTCCGCGCGCGATTGCACTTCGTTTTTTTGTTGTTGCTGTTTGTGCTTCCTGCGAGGGAGAGGGGTGTTTTGGCTCCGGCGCGCTCGCGAGCGCGCTCGATTGATTTCGGCTCGCGCGCGAATGCCTCCTCCTCCTCCTCCTCCTCCCTCCTCCTCCTTTCCCCCTCCTCCTCCTCCTCCTCCTCCTCCTCCTCCTCCTCCTCCTCCTCCTCCTCCTCCTCCTCCTCCTCCGCCTCCTCCCCCTCCGCCTCCACCCCACCCTCCACCTCCCCCTCGCCCTCCCCCTCCCCCTCCCCCCCCCTCCCAGCAGCTGCAAGCCCTCCTGTCCTTACCGCGCGGCCAGGTTGGGGCGCACCCCCTTCTGGAGGAGGAGGAGGAGGAGGAGGACGAGGAGGAGGAGGAGGAGGAGGAGGAGGAGGAGGAGGAGGATGGGGAGCAGCAGCAGCAGCTCAGAGGAGGAAAAGGTACCCACACCGCCCCCTTTTTCTATTCCCCACTGAGGGGGTCTCCCTGGAGGCCCTCGTCGTCGCCGCCGGATTCGCCTCGAAGTTCTAATCAGAACGCACTCCGGGAGAGTTCCTGGGAGTAAAGTCAACGGATGGGCAATTTTCCCAAGAGGGCCCATTCATGCTTGCCTCCTCGGTCCACCTTTTACCGCTTTCGTTGGCCGCGCCCCGCTCGAAAAAACTTCCAGATGAGCGTCCAAGGCCCTTGCATCCTTATCGCGCATCCTCACTGTACGGGCTGACTGCAGCGGTATCGGTGCCTTTTGGTTCCCCTAGCAGAAGCAGCGCGTTGATGTCTGAGCCGCAGCGCGCCGTGCAGCCCACGAGCCATCGGCCCGCCGTTGCGGGCAGCCGCCGCCAGAGCTGCAGGCTGCGGTGCGGACGGGCAGCACGCTGCAGGCAGGGTGCCTGGCCGGGGCTGCAGCGCCAGGTCATCACATTCTAGGTTTAAGGCGGGCCTGTCCCTCTACAGGAAGAATACTCAAAAGTAGTAAAATAGTTTGGGGACGATGTTTTCATTGTTTCACTATTTGGGTGTATTGTTTGATTATTTCTTTTGTTTCGCCCAAAATCCGCCTGTAGGAGGACATACCCGACCTAACGCTAGGCCTCCTAGCTGGGGTCCGAGCAGATGGGGTCGGAGGATCGCGCCGTATCGCCGATGCACCAGCGATGCGGCTCGATGTGGAGCTCGATTTCTCCACGACGACGTCGCCGATGCACCGCCGACGTCGCCGATGCATCGGCGATATATCGCCGATGCAGTGGCGATGCGGCGCGATCATCCGACCCCACCTACTCTGACCCCACTTGGCAGGTCTCTACACACTGGCGTCCAAATAGCCTGTCCGAATCTGGCCGGCTGTGGCAACTTGTCGCCCTCCCCGCTTGCCTCCTCTCTCAGAGGTTTGGGGTCGGGGGCCTCCTGTAGGCCTCATGGGTGCCTCTTGGAGCACCCATGGGCTTGATGAGGCGTACTTGGCGCCTGCCGGCGACCTCGGAAGCTATTTTGGCAAGGGAAGGCTCCTGGGCTCTTCGAACTCCTGGTCCGTTGTGGACGCTCGTAAACCCGAAAGGCGACATTGTTTATTGCTTGAGAAAGGGTTGTTGTCGAACGTGTTAGGGTTTATGGGGCCGACCCCCGGAGCTTCCAAGACTGCCCAGAATGACCCCCGAGAGCACCCCAGGATGGGATGGAAGGGCTGTGTTGCAGTGAGCTGGAAGTTTGGAGCCCGAGCCATGGGGCGGAGGGCTCGCGCAAAGTCACGCGGGGAGCCCCAGGAGCGCCAAGGTGCGACCAGAAATCCCGTAAGGCAAGGGGCCAGGTTTGTTTCAAATCGTATTCACAAGATTCGGTAGTAGTGGCGGTTGGAGACTTGAGAGCACTCCACGTAGTACTTACGGTACGGTGGTGGATATATCACATGGTTCTCATTTCATCACCGCGCATAGTAGTTTTAAACGCCAGAAGCCGATACATTGTCGGATAAATTGTTGTGTTCCAAGATTTGACTCGGATCAGTGCCGTACACATGCGTCCCAAACGTTAGCAACAGTTCCGCGGGCGCAAGGTGGTTGTTTCTCAGTATCGGGTTCTCGCTTGCGACGTGTGTAGGTGTACGGCGCGAAGTACTTCCTCAAGACAAGATATCACAAGGCTGTATCAATCCAGAATGGACCTCACGGTAGAGACTCTGCCAGATGTCATGGCAATCGTTCCCAGGAAGAGGAGCCGGTTCCTTGACAAAAGCGAGACCTCCGCCGGAGCGGCGGGCCCGTGTGTGGCGCCCATCTTTCAAGGGGGCCCCCGCCATATTGTGCCACCTGTTGCCTGTTGTGACTTGTGAGGAGGGAGTTGGGGACGGGAGGCTCGCTCAAGCCATTCTGGCTCAAGCGGTTCCGATCGAAACTGTCACATCACGCGGCCGCCGTTTGAGTTGTCAATCCCTGTCAGACTTCAACTCGACCAAGGAACCCATCCGATACACTGCGTGAGGCGATCTGCCTTCACATTGGGCAGGCGGGTGTGCAGATTGGCAATCGGTGTGCAGCGACTAATGGTGAGACATCGCGCGTGTGGCGTTCTACCGGGGGGGCGTCAGGGCGTGTCATGCGGCGGCGACGGCACGCTCCGGCGGCGCTGCGCTGTGGCGTGGCGACTTTCGGCATCCGTAGGCTGGCAGTCGGCCCCCACCAACGCTTGTTGGTTCAACTTTTTAGTTGAAGAGCTCTCGTATGCATTTCCAGTCTGTACACTTGCGTGGCCAATGTTGGTGTAGATCGCTGCGTTCCTGTGCCGGGTTGTGGCCTGGGCGGGCCGAGGGCGTGGTGGGGCAGCGGCCCGTAATTCCATGCATGGGAGGCTGGCTTGCGTGGCCAATCGAGCGTGCACGCCCTCTACGAGGCCATTTGCGCCTCGTTGGTTTTCGCTGTGTACAGTATTGGCGTTGTGTATGGTGGCTCTGGGGACTGTACAGTTAGCCCTGGGCGGCCAGTTTCTGGCCTTCGAGCGCCCCACACAACTTTTCTGCCTGTTGACCTCAAAGAGGTAGCAGGTGGAACGCCTGGGCGAAGTCCGCGGCTTCGGTGGCGGATGGCGTGCAGAGCGTCTAATAACGGGATACCGCGTTCGCCCAAGGGTGGTTGCCGCAGTTTGTGGTACCATGTCGAGCCCTTGGGGGGCGTGTCGGCGTGTGACGTGGGTTATCCATTTCATTCATCGGCGAACTTCGACATCGACACGGGTCCCAGGGGTTCCCCCAAGGGCGATGCTGGGTGGACTCAGCGGTCCTGTTGGTATGGTGGCTGGTGGCCCGCTCTCGAGACTGCGGTCGAGGGGGCCGGCGGGGGCTACGTGTCTGCCACGCCCCCCGAGAGGTACCTAGTCTTACATCGTCAGACTGCAGGTTCGTTTGCTCCGGTACCGGGGACAGGACCTGTAAGAGTACGCATGGCTACAGACACTTGGGAAAAAAAACGCCATATCGACTGTGTGATCGCTGGGGGGATCCAGGGTTGCCCTCCGGAGCCCACGGGCGGCCAGCTACTGGCCTTCGAGCTCCCCGCGCAATTTTTTTGCCTCATCGAGGGTGCAGGTGACTCGCGCGGGCTTCGGTGTGCAGCGACTAATGGTGAGACATCGCGCTTGTGACGTTCTACCGGGGGGGCGTCAGGGCGTGTCATGCGGCGGCGACGGCACGCTCCGGCGGCGCTGCGCTGTGGCGTGGCGAATTTCGGCATCCGTGGGCTGGCAGTCGGCCACCGCCAATTTCTGTTGGTACAACTTTTTAGTTGAAAGGGTTCTCGTATGCATTTCCAGTCTGTACACTTGCGTGGCCAATGTGGGTGGATATCGCTGCGTTCCTGCGCTGGGTTGTGGCCTGGGCGGGCCGAGGGCGCGGTGGGGCAGCGGCCCGTAATTCCATGCACGGGGGGCTGGCTTGCGTGGCCAGTCGAGCGTGCGCGCCCTCTACGAGGCCATATGCGCCTCGTTGGTTTTCGCTGTGTACAGCATTGGCGTTGTGTATGGTGGATCCGGGGACTGTACAGTTAGCCCTGGGCGGCCAGTTTCTGGCCTTCGAGCGCCCCGCATGGCTTTTCTGCTTGGGTGCAGTCCGCAGCTGCGGTGGCGGATGGGGCGCAGAGCGTCCAATTACGAGATGCTGCGCCCACCCAGGGGTGGCTGTCGCTTTCGGCGACGCCATGGCGAGCCTTTGGGGGCCGCGTCGACGCGCGACTTGGGTTGTCCATCTCATGGATCCGTCGGCGAACTTCGGCATCGACGCGGCTTCCATCCCCGAGGGCGAGGCCGGATGGATTCAGCGGTCCTGTGGCCCGTTCCCGAGACTTCGGTCGAGGGGGCTGATGGGGGCCACGTGTCTGCCATGCCCCCCGAGAGGCACCTAGTCTCGCATCGACAAACTGCGGGTTCGCTTGCTCCAGTGCCGGGGGCAGCACGTGAAAGAGTACGAATGGCTACAGACACCTGGGAAGAAAGACGCCACATGCGACCGTTGGGGAGATTCAGCGCTGCTCTCCGAAGCCCACGGGCGGCCGGCCACTGGCCTTCGAGCGCCTTGCACAGCTCTTCTGCCTTGAGCGCGGAATCCAGCCTACGATCGGAGGCGGCGACGATGCTCTCAACTCGTTCTTCTCCGACATTTGCGCCGGCAAGCACGTCTCCCAATGCGCGATGGTCGAACTGGAGCCCATTGGGGTCGAGGAAGCACGCGCGGGCACCCACCGTCAGCTGTTCCACCCTGGGCAGCTCATCTCCAGGAAAGAGGACGCCGCAAACAATTTCGCGCGAGGGCATTATATCATCGGCATGGAGGTCGTCGACCTCGTCCTCGATCGGATCAGGAAGTTGGCCGACAGCTGCACTGGCCTGCAGTGCTTTTTGGTCGACAATGCCGCCAGCGGAGGCACTGGCTCCAGACTCCGCTGCCTGATGCTGGAGCGCTTGTCTGTGGATTACGGGAAGAAGACGAAGGTGTCTTGCGCCGTGAGGGCGTGCCCGCAGGTCGCCGCGGCAGTAGTGGAGCATTGCAGCGCTGTACTTCGCGCGCACTCCCTCCCGGAGCGAATAGGCGTCGCACAGGAGGAGGGGGGGGCAGAAGAGGGCGAAGAAGGAGAGGCAATGGCAGGGCAGAGGTTGAGGGACAGGGCGCCGCCGACGAGGAGCTGGACGACTGGCTGCCCCCGGTCGCCGCGACGCCGCAGAGGCCAGTTGCCGCGACACCGCAGAGGAGCAAGAGGAGGAGGAGGTGCGAAGAGTTTTCGGATGCAGCGGGGAGGGCTTGCGGAGGTGCTGAGCCAGCTAGTGCGCGGAGCACGAGGAGTAGAGGTAGTTTGGGCTCCTGGATGCCAGGCCCCAGCAGCACGGTGAAGCGTGCCACCCCCGCCAGCGCCAGGAGCGTCGGCACCGTGGACTCCTGGTTGCCTCGGCCGCATTCCGCAGGGAGGAGAGGGGCAGCGCGCGGTGCTGCAGGCGCAACCCCAGAGATGGACACTTGGGTGTGCAAGCTGTGTGATGAAACAGTCACCGCGCCCAAAGGCGCCTTCCGCTATTTGGGGATAAAGAAGAGCGTTCGCTTCGAGGAGATAGTCTTGCAGCGCCGCCGCCACCTCCAGCGATGGCATCAAGGGGGAGATTGGTCGATGGCGGGCCCCCTGAAGAAACCCGCTGGGCTGCCGCCGAGGGCGCGACGCCAGGTGCCGCTGACGCAGCAGGAGTTTCATGAGATGAGAAGCAATGCGGCCAAGAAACGGCGAGCGAAACGGCGGGAAGAAGCGAGGGGGAAACGCGAGGAGGAGGGAGACACGCGCGACCACAAGGGCCACAACATCCGAGACGTGGTCACAGAAAACGCCAGGAACCACACGGGCTGGACGCGGCGCCTGCTGATTTGTGGCAAGTGCCATGGAGCCTGGTGGGGCGATGCGACCGCCAACGTGGCTTGCCCCTGCCACGCATGGAATGACCTGGCAAACGACAAGCCCAGGTGGATGCAATCGACCCGGTTGTGATGGTGGGCAAGCCTTGATGCAGGTGACCGCGCGCTGGTGCGACGGAGCTGGGCTGGGCATGCCGAGCAGCAGCCGACTACCGCGGCGTGGGGGGGAGATTGACGAGGCCGCCGAAGCGCTCACAGCCAGAGCAGACGCTGGGGGCTTCACGGCGGCGGAGAAGGAACGCAACAAGGTCATGCGCCGCGCCATGGTGAAGGCTGCGTGGGGCCCTGGGCAAGATGTTGCTGACCGCCGAGGCCCGGGGTACTCGACGTGGCTGGCGGCGCGCTGTGGCTTGCACAAGTTGGACCGCCTTGAGACGGCCACGAGGAAAACCGTAAGGAAGAGGCAGAAACACAAGGACAAGGCCCGGACGACTGGACCAGGCCGTTGTTGAGGCGGAGACGGGCGCAGGCTTGAGACGAGGGCGGGCAGCGGAGGAGGCCGAGGAGGAGGAGGAGGGGCGAAACGCAGACAGGAGGCGGAAAAGAGAGGGGCGCGTCGAGGAGGAGGAGGAGCCTGAGACAAGCAGGAGGCGAATAGCAGCAGAGGAGGTGTTGGAGACAGGCACGAGGCTACTTGGCGAGGAGGCAAAGGGGCAGCAGGAGACGGCAGGACAGCTTGGGCGCGGCGAGGAGCTGGAAACGCTGGGGGTCTTTCTGGGGGCCATCAATGTCGCCAGCTGGTCTAAGCATGGCCTGGCGGCTCTCCGGGCGGCCGGCGCGCGCGGCGCCGACGTCGCGTTTGTCCAGGGGCACAAACTCACGAGGCAAGGAATGCGCACGGCGCAGCGGCTGGCTGCAAGGAGGAGCTGGCACCCCGTAGAGGGCACGGTGCTAGCCGAGACTCAGGGCAGGAATGGCCGCGATTGGCACAATTACGGCGGCCTCGCGTGCGCCGCGAGGGGCACATGGAGAGCTGAACGGCTGTGGCAGAGGAGGGAGATAGGAGGAGAGGTTGCGGTCTTTCGCGCGCGCAGTGGCAGGCAGATGCTGCGCGTGGGGGTCGTGCATCTCCGGCGCAATAGCCTGGTCCAGGCGCGCCGAGGATTGCTCCTGGGTCTGCGGGAGTGCCTCGCCGGGCTCGGAGGTGCAGCTGTGCTCGGCGGCGACTGGAATGTGGAGGCCTCGGGGGGCATCCTCGGCGTTTTGATTGGGGGTGGCCAGTGGCAGCCCGCAGTGCCGCAGTCGCCCACGATGGCAGGAAGCAGCGATGCCAGGAATGACTACTTCCTGGTCCAGGGCGCGGTTGTCGGCGACGCAGTGGCGCACCGTGACCGGATTGCGGACCACAGGTTGGTCACGATGGGGCTCAAGGCGTGGGCCGAGGAGGAGACCGAGGTTTGGGCTTGGCGGCGCGCGGCGAGATATGGCGTCAGTACCAGACCACGCGCCAACATGGACGATGAAGACGACGGCTGGCTCGCGAGCGCCCGGCCGCCTCGTAGTCAAGGCCCCGAGGCCGAGGAGGGCGACGCCGCTGCTGAAGGAGAACGTGGAGCTGAGCACGAGGAAGAGGAGGAGGAGGAGGAGGAGGAGGAGGAGGAGGAAAAGGAGGAGGAGGCGCGCGAGGCAGCCCGGCGCTGGCGGACGTGCCACAGCCGCGAGGAGGAGGAGGAGGAGGGCGCAGGCACCGCCGAGGACCTCTGGAGGAAGTGGCCCCGAGGAGCAGAAGCTTTTCTGCGAGGTGAGCACTAGGTCCTTACTGAAGGAACGGGCTACAAGGGAGACCGACACCCGGCGCACCGGCAGCGCCCGGAGAGCCAAAAGGCGGGCTCCGTGCAGGCGCGGCGCGAGAGGCAGCCGAGGGAACTCATCGCCGCGTCGGAAGCCGTGCAGGAGCGAAGGGGGCCGCGGGCGCGTGACGGAGCGACCCAGGCGCCATCGCGAAAGAGGGCGTACCTTCGGCGGAAACTTGGGCTGCCGCGGGCCGTTGGACCAGATGGCGCAGAGGACCTGCGCGGGAAACTGCGGGAAGCAGTGGAGGTCAGCAGGGGCGAAAGGATCAAAGTGTGGCGCGAGAGTATACGTGAGGACAACATGCGGAAGCGGACGTACAAATTGATTAGGAATCCGGCGCAGAGCTGTGGAGCCGCCGTGCACGACGCGACCGAGCAGAGACAGTATTCGGGCCAAGCTGCGGTGGAGAAGCTCCGTAGTTTTTATCGCGGCCATTTCAGTAGCGCAGGGTCTGGGAACCAGCCCGAGGAGTACATGCTGCACTACGCAGAGGAGGTGGAGGAGGCGAAGGAGAAAATCCAGCAGGCGGCGGCGCAGGAGGATCGCCATCATCAGCACATCTACGCCATGATCGGCCACAGTGATTTGCGCTGGGGAGCCCCATCAGCAGGCAGCGCGCGGCGGCTTTTGAAGATGATGGCAGGCGCCGCGGCTGGCCAAGACAAGTGGTTAGCGAGCGAGCTGCTCCCACTGCCAGACCTTGCTTACGATGACCTGGTGGAGTTGCGCCTCGACTTCGAGGCGGGGGGCTGGCCCCCGAGCCTCAAGAGGTGGAGGCAGACCCACGCCCCGCAGGAGAGCGACAGCGCCCCGAAAGTGGACCGCATGAGGCCCATCGTCATTGCCAGCACGGTGGTAAGAATGTGGCACAAACACCGAGCAGAGCAGATCGCAGAGTTCCTGGAGCCGGCTTTCGAGGCGGACCAAGCTGGCGGCCTGCGCCAGAGGGCGCTCGAGGGGCTCCTGGAGGGCACGCTGACGGAGGTCGAACAAACGATTGTCGCCAGCAGGGTCGCGGGCACCCCTGCCTACGACCTCCTGAGCGAAGACGACAAGCAGAGAGTGGACAACAAGAAGGGCGCCCTCTACGGCTCCTCCTGGGACTTCGAGAGCGCCTTCGACAGGACGGGTCCAGCGATTGTAGGACGCATCTGGAAAGAGTGTCGCGTGCCCCATGGCATCGTGGATGGCATCGTGGACATGCGGTGCAACCAGGAGCGGTGGCTTGAGAGTGCCGGCCTAGCCGCTAGTGAGCCCATAGCGGTTTCACGGTCGTTGCCGCAAGGAGACCCTGGCACTGCCAGCATGCTTGGCATGGCCACCGTGCTCATGCCGCCGACGCGCCGCATGAAACGGAGGGTGGCGACGGCCACGTGCTGCGTGCACGCCGACGACCGCGCGGCCTGCGCGAGGAGCCTGGACGACATGCAGGAGGTGGAACGGCACTGGGGGGAGCTGGAGCAGCTTACGGCGCTGCGGACGCACCCGGGCAAGACCCAGCGGTTCGTCGTCTCCGCGGACGCGCGCGACGCCGGCGAGGACCGCGGCGCCGACAGAGGTGGAAGCCGAGGGCGCACCGGCGCTTCGCGAGGAAGAAATGGGCGGCGAGGCAGAGGAGGTAGAGGAGGAGGACGAGGTGGAGCAGGGACAGGGGGAGGCGCCAGAAGCAGCTTCAAGGTTCTCGGCGTCGACTTCTCTTTCGACGAAAGGGAGCTAACGCCCAGGGAGATGGGGAAACTCAAGGCAGGCATTGAGAGACTGCAAAGGATTGCCAAGCTACCGCTGGGCTGGCAGGCAAGGGGGCGCGCGGTGGAGACGGCAGCCATGCCCCAGATGGCGCGGGGGCTCGTCGCGTCCCTGCCGCAGGAGGCGCAACTGATGGAGGTGCGACGGGAGGTGAGGAGAGCAGTGTGCGGCAGGAGGTGGCCCTCTGCGTCGGTGGAGCTCCTGCATCTCCTAGCGGTGGGTCACTACGGCGGCCTGCGGCACCACCTGGCGAACAGATGTTGGGCCTTCCACCAGGCCAGGAGGAGGGGCAGGGCACGGAGGAGGAGCTGGCATGGCAGAGGCTGGTGGAGGTGACGGACAGTTGCGGCCCGACGCGCTGCCTGCAGCGACACGTAGAAGCAATGGGCTTCCACAGGGACACCCACGCGGCCGATTGGAAGCATGGCGAGAGGCACTTGCACATAGACGACCGCAGGGGCAGAGCGGCGCACGTGCTCCGCGTGGCCTGGCGGCAGGGGCGTTGGGGCGCCTTCAAGGCCCAAGGGGCGACGAGACGAGACAGCAGATTAGCTGTGGAGGAAGGCGTCGCCTTCGATGAAAGAGCCTTCCACGTCGCGACGGAAGTGCTGCAGTTAGGCGCGCTCGGCAGCCATGCGTCGGCCGTGCTCGCCGGGGCCTTGTGGAGCGATGCCAGGCTGGATGTGGCGATGGGCAGAGAGCCGCGCCCGCGCCGCGATTGCCCGAGCGGCGAGGTGCCAGACGTAGTCCACCATTGGTGGCGCTGCGACAGGTGGGCCGGCCGGAGGAGAGGTATTGCCACGCCGCGGAGCGCGCTGGCCAGACGGATGGGATGGCCGGAGGAGGCGCTCCAGGGCGCAGACGCCCGCCGGGCATGGGGGAAGCAGCTCGAGTACATGGCTGGCGTGCGCCAGAGCCTCGTCGAGGACCGCTACCGCGGAGGCAGGCCCAGCCTTGGCGGAACGTGGCAGATGATATTGCTTAAACAGGCAGAGAGGAAGAGGCAGCGGCAGTGAGAGGAGGAGGAGGAGGAAGAGGAGGAGGAGGAGGGCGAGGCGGTCAACATGGGAGTGCGAGGAGGAGGAGGAGGAGGAGGAGGAGGAGGAGGAGGAGGAGGAAGGGGAGGAGGAGGAGGCGGGCGAGGCGGCGGGGCGGTGGAGGAGGAGGAGGAGGAGGCAGCTGGAGGGCTGAGAATATTCAGCCGGCCAGGAGGTTGAGGCAGCATTTTCACCCGGCTTAGGCTCGCGCCGTCAAACAAGCCACCGGCGTGCCGCGGCATGCCGAGGCCAGTTTCGGTGGCTTGGTTTCCCAGGATATTGCGACATTTGCCGCCGCAGCCATGACATCGAGCGCCCTTCTTGCACGAACCTAGACGGGCTGCTGGCGCAGATCATCTCTTCGCTGGCTGCGTCGTTGCGCTTCGACGGTCCTCTGGGCGTGGACATTGCCGAGTTCCAGACAAACTTGGTGCCCTATCCGCGCATTCACTTCGTGCTCTCTCCAGCTATGCACCCGTGATCTCTGCGGAGAAGCGCGCCGCGAACAGCTGTCAGTGGCGGAGATCACCGCGCCGGTCTTTGAGCACGCATCCACGTGCGCGAATGCGAGCCTCGCCGCGGCAAGCACATGGCATGCTGTGTGATCCTGGCCGGAAAGTCGGACTGCAAGCCTCTTCGTGGCGGCCAGGGGCAACTCGATGCTTGCAGCATCTGTCGACGGCCGTCTTCGCCCAGAAGCGTCGGATGGCATCGAAGCCAAGGAGGTGGAAGGGGGCCCCCAGCAGACGCAAGTGCGCCGCGACGGCGGCCCGCGGCAGCCGACCCAGGGCGCGCAAACCTGGCGCCCTGACTTCCATAGTCCTCGCCGCATCGGAGGGCGCGGTCACGACCCCCATTGGGGGGGGGGCTGTCATTGGGCGCATCCTGATCGGCACACCTCGCGGACTCGAGTTCCTCGAGCAAGGGGGGGCCTGCGAGGGGCCCCTGGCCTGTCTGGCAGCGCTCCCGAGCACTGCCGCGCACAGAATTGCCCTGCGGCGGATTGCTGAGCCAACCGCCAGTACTGGTCATTTTGAACTGCGCAGCTCTTGTTCCGCGCGCTGTGTGATCCTGGCCAGAAAGTCTGATTGCATGCCTCCTCGTGGCGGCCAGGTGCAACTCGATGCTAGCAGCATCTGTCGACGGCCGTCTTTTCCCAGAGGCGACGGGGGTCATCGAGGCCAAGGAGGTAGTGGGGGCCTCCAGCAGACGCAAGTGCGCCGTGACGGCGGTCCGTGGCAGCCGACCCAGGGAGCGCAGGCCTAGTTCCCTGACTTCTATAGTCCTCGCCGCATCGGGGGGCGCGGTCGCGACTCCCACTGGGAAGGCTGCCATTGGGTGCATCCTGATCGGCGCACCTCGCGGACTTGAGTTCATCGAGCAAGGGGGGGCGCGAAATCGCCCTGCGGCGGATGGCTAAGCCAACCGCAAAAACTAGTGCCCAGCGGAGACGTAGTGCCCAGCGGTGCGAGCGTTGCGGTAGCTACCGCACAGACCAAGCGCACCTTTCATTCGATTTCTGGATTAGGCTTCGCCGCTGGGGCGGTGTCGGCGCCCCGCGGGGGCCCTGGGTCGTCTGGCCGCGCCCGGGGCCTCCTGGGGGGCGAAGCGGGAACGACCCCCGCCGAATGGCGGGTTGACGCGGAAAGTGGTCAGCACAGCCCGGCGTCGGCGCGTGGGAATGCAATTCGAAGAGTCGAAGTTTTTTCCTCGCCAGGGCTTGGGGCCGGCCCAGCCACTGGAGTCGCGGCCGAAGGCAACAGGCATGCAGGGCGTTATCCAGGGGGTGGAAAACGACACGGCCATAGATGCGCGGAGGGACGATCAGCTGAACGACGAGCTGATCAGAGGGAGAGGAGAGCGAGGGGGAGGGGGCGAGCGCAGTGCCGGAGAGCGGCGAAGACCGCCGCACGACGGGAGCATCGCAGAGCACGCGTCTTCAGATCGAGCGCGAGGTTCGCGAGGCTCGCGGGCCCGGGCGAGGATCTTCGAGCCCGGAACGTCACGATCGCGACGTGGGCCGCGCGCCTGCTGCCAGTTGGCGAGGGCTGTCAGGAGAGGCCATTCGAGGTCATTGCCTTCGCAGCGAGCCAGAAATGGGGCGCGGTGCGTTTGATGCGCGGGGAGGTGAACCTGGAGCGCGGGAGCGCGGGGGGCGCGCGGGTCGCCGGGCGCCGATTTCGACAGCGAGGGCAGCCATCTTGACGAGCGACTCCTGGGCCGGCGAGTGGGAGAGCGCCGGCAGCAAGTACCGGGCGAGCGAGCGGGTGCTCTCTGTGGAGACATGGGCTCGCTGCTAATCTGCCCCCGCGGCTGGTGGAGGCATCCTCGACCCCTTGCCCGCGTAGAGACCCCCCCTAAACCATTCCTGGCTTTCAGGCAATTTTCCAAACGTCCATTGTTGAAAGGGAAACAACGCGCGCATGAACATAGATATTGTAGATATAGTGGCGGCACAAATACCTAGGACCCTCCTTGATACAAAGCGAGTGCGGGTGTGTCCATGAGACCCACGATTCCTTATCCTTCTCTTTCGTCGTGTTTCCATGAACGCATTTGACACGAGTTAACACCTTTGTCAACTACTTGTTGATAGGAGGCGCGTTCGGACAATTCCCCCTTCGTTCGCTCCGTGGCGGCGCGCCGCGCAACCCCGATCACTCGGGCCTCCGCGGGCCTGCAAACGGGAGTGTAGGAAAGGGGGGGACGAGGGAAGGGGGAGGGGGCGAGTAGTAGGAACAGGAGGACCAGAGACAGAAGACGGAGAGGATTGATGGCAGAAGAACAAAGCATGGCGAATGTAAAGGGTTGCGGGTCGAATCCAATGCCCCGCATCACCACCCAAGTAAAGCCCCCCCCCCCCCCCAGCGTCAAACCAACCACACGCGTGGCCATTTGGGCTCAATATACATGTAGTTCTGGTAGTGTACGCACCATCCACATTGTTGTTTCGTGGCTCTCATTTGTTTGCAAATGATATATTATGGGTGACGATCAGGACAGCCTCGTTGGTGACATGGCTCTATCGTTGGGGACGACGTCGTTGTTCCTCCTCGCCCGCTTCGCCGGTGCAGGCGCCAAGTGATTCGCGAGATGGGCCCGCCTGCTGTGTTCTTGATTATCGCGTGCAATGCGGGATGGCCTTCACGCGCCGACGCTTCGGTCGTGGGCGGCCCGCCGCCCGTGGGCGCCGACCGGGGCGACGAGCACTACCTTGTGGGCGCGGTCTTCGGGAACTGGGCGCTGCGGGCCCGCTCTCTTGCAGCGGCTGGAGGAGACATTGCGAATCTCGCCTGGACTTCGGGCCAAGCCTTGGCAAGCCTTTCGAGCCGCAGCGCCGCGACTTCAGGGCTCGTGACGCACGAGGGCTCAGGTCAAGAAGTCGTCGAACCTCGTCTCGTTGACAAATCTTGGGGTGTGCGCGAAGTTCTCGAAGTTCATCGCGACTGTCTGATCAAGAACAGTTGTGTTGAAGGCGTGACGCTTGGTGTATGGTACGATCCTGATTACCCGTTGTATGCTATCCGTTTGGCCCCTGCTTTCGCATTGGACGCAGTGCGACAAGCTTATTCGCGTTTCTACGCAGTTGCAATCACACGTCGGATTTCGTCGGGCTCGTGGCTTCCATTCAAACCGTCCTACAATTTCATTCGGAGGTGGCTGAAGGCGAACGCCGATGGGCAACGACGTGCTGGAGTAGTTCCCCGTGGCCAACAGAGAGGCCCGTGCAGACCTGCTTATGGTTCTGTAGACGTGGTGACCGTTATCCCATGGCTCCGCGCAACCCAGTTTCTGCGTGACTTCGAACGGCAAGCGAACAAAGCAACCCTCGCCTTCACAGAGATTGCCGTTCAATGCAGCGCGCTAGCTTTGGAACTGTGCGCGGACGCGGGGGGCATCAACGTGGGGGTTGTGCGGAAATCGAGAGTGCGGCTTGACATTGTTTCGTGTATCTTGTTCAGGAGTTTCTTCAAGAACCTTGACATTAACAAAACATAGATATATTCTGTTTGCTGACGGAAGTCCCTTGGGGCGGGGTGCAGAGATGCATGCAGTTAGCATGGGCGTGGTGACAGATGGACTACAGCAACGGCGGATGCTCCCTTGTGTGACTTTGAACAACGGCCAACTTGATACGCGAGGGAAGGCATTCGCTCTTCTATGGCAGCTGTGGCTGCTCGTTGGACCTCGTCGGTGACCTTCGGTCTTGCTGCAACTGCGTCGCCGCCATCGCGACGGATAGTGGCACCGAACGTCTCTTCAGTCACGTTGAAGACATACTCCCTGAGCTCATCATTGCCATCGGGGGAAAGCTGGGTCCACGAGGCGTCCGCCAACAACGACTCTGCCGAGGGCGCCGATGGGGTCCTGGCTGGAAGCACACGTGGGACAATTTGTTGAGCCGGGCTCTTCACATGTGCAATTGGTGGCCGCTGTTCTTCAAACGCTTGAAAGCCATCGTCTACCAGATGCGCAATCGAGCACAAAACTTAACCATGAGGAGGCACGCCGAGAGATCAGGCAGGCAAGGGTGCGCCTCAGCTCTGCACGACATAAAGTTGGTGAACTTCGCTCAGTGGCGTTGGTCTACGCTGCCACGTATTTGCCAAGCGTTGGAAGGGATCGTCACTAGCTTCATCCTGTATTTTGATGCCCGCATCTTCGGCCACGTTCAGAACCACGAGTCCATATCAAGTCTGATGGATGTCGTGGCAGCCTCGGAACCGCGCAACATGTGGTTGACACAGTTCAGATTTGTTTCATGGGTGTGCTCTCATGTCGGCCCTGTACTCGGCTGGATTGGGACTTGCCGCTGTCATGCCGAGGAGTGGGAGCAAGGTGGACATCCGACAAGTTGGTTTCCAGGCAGGCTATTACCGTGGGCGCATGACAAGGCGATGGGGGTGCTCGACACTACGCTGCAAGAGTGCAACGCTTGGACGCGCCAGGCATATGACGGCGATGTGGGTTTCACAGGCGATGTTCAAGGAGTGGTTCGCGCATTTTGGGCTCTGGCAAAGCCCCACTTCAAAGCCTTCGGCGCGCCGCCATACTTGTTGGCGCGACTACGACAACCAGGAATCCGTGATCGAGTTCTTGCACAATACGACCAGTACCCAGCAGCGGACCACGACGATCTCAGCAACATGGTGCTTTCACGTGGCTCGGCCTGGCGCGCCCAAATTCAAGCAATGAGTGCTGATGGTTCTGGAATGGCTGCCCCTCTTGATCACCTCATTCGTTCGATGGAAGAGATACCCTTGGACGACTCAGTTGCAGAAACACCACACTCGGTCGTGAAAAAAACCCAGGCATTCCCGAGCGTCTGGCTGGCCATGGGCCGCGAGCTCCCTGCGGCTCCAGCAGACTTTGACGGACGTGGATGACTTTACGTGTTTGGACTTGTAGGAGTGCTGGAATTGCTGGAGTTGCGTTCTGAGGCCACCTGGATCCAGACGCCCGAACAAAGCTGTAGCGTTGTCGAGGGCGGCCGTCATTGACAGATTTTACACGGACAGATTTTACACAGCTTCGCATTGCACGTTTGCGACGGGTGCTGGAGGCATCGCCCTTGGAGCTGGAGGCCCTGGCCCTCCGCCCCCACCTCTTGAGGACCAACCCGACGGCGACGTTGGCGGTGAGCATCGTGAAGACGGAGATGTTGATCATCATGACGAGGGGGGGGGGGACCCTGGAGACGGGCCTGGTGGCGCTGGCGGGGGCAACGGTGCGAGCCGCGGCAAGGCGTTGGGTCGAAGTTCATATGAGGTTCGGTTGATCGAGCAGTGCTTGTCCAAAGCGCTGGCGCCTCTGTCCTACGCCACATTTCCCATCGGCACTGGCGACGGTGAGGGGTCTCGAACTGGTGTATTCCAGGTGTTGGGAGTTGAAACTCGATCTATCGTTGCGCCCACAATCGTCGACGCGCAGAGGGAGAGCCTGCTCTGCAAGACCACGGTTCAGGAGATGTCCATTTGGGAGGACGGTGCTTGCAAAACAATCCTTCACCTCCTCATCTCCCGCTCCTACCCGCTGCCATTTCCCCATTGCGTCCTTCATGTGCCTCTGCTCTCCTCCCCTTCCTAATCGCATCCCTCCTGCCTCCCCCCCCTCCTCCTCGTCTTTCCCCATCTGCCTCCCCACCTCCCCCCCCCCCCCCCCCCCCCTTCTCCTCATTTCCACTGCCCCCCGCCAGGGGGCGGGGGCCAGGAGGGGAGGGGGGGGGGGGGGTAGGAGGGCGCGCGAATCACCAGCAACAAACCAACACTAGTAACAAGAAAAGAACAAGGAGGAGGAGGAGGAGGAGGAGGAGGAGGAGGAGGGGGAGGAGTTGTTTTGCGAACTCATCTTAGGAGGACAACGGGAACGTCATCGACGCGTACGCCCTTCACGAGCCTAGACATTGATGTGATCAAGCTGATCGGGATTGACCCTGCTTCGCTGGCAAATCTTCTAACGTGGGCCGTTGTCGAGGCGCCGTCTGATGGTTGTATCAGGCTAATCAACCCGCGGATCTGCGAACCACACCTGCCGCTCCCAGACAAGGATATCCCGTGTTTGCGCCTGGCTCGCGTCTTGGACCGCCAGGGGCACGCGCGCGTATCAGCGAGGGTATTGCGCGAGCCAGGCGTTCTGGTTTAGGACGGCAGGCATCTACCGAGCAGGCGCACTCACTTGCAGCGTGTGCTTGTTAGTGGAGACATTTTCAAGCATGGTGTGAAGTTCTCGTCGGCTCACAGCTACACCTTTTACAAGATGTTGCTTGAACGCCCAACTCAAGCTGATAGCACGCCCACTGCGCATCAATTAAAACGGAATTTCAAAGAGATAGGGGACACGCCCACTGAGATGCCAGCTCTGATGGTCAGCTCTGCACTTCCTCCGCTGCCATCCCCCCCAGCGCCTGGCGAAGCAGACGCCTTGGATGACGACTGCCCTATTTGTGGCGGCGACGGCAACGAGGTACCTATCCAGGATGGGGAAGAACGTGCAGATCGCCCCGAAAACATGCGTGCACCCATCAACGATGCGGATGATGTTGTTCCAGACCCTCCTACACCACAAGATAGGCCACGAACTCCACCAGCTGACGTTAGAGCCGTGCCTTCGGAATCTTATTCGAAGAGCTCTTCTTCCTCGCCGTCTTCATCGTCCTCGTCCAGCAGCAGTGACGAGAGCTCGGCATCTGATGTTGGAGGCGATGTTGCTTCTGTGGCTCCGTCGCGTGGGTCATGCCGAAGGACGAGAGGGCGGTTCTTGCATGAGAGCCGCGTGAGGCGTGGCCGCCACTATGGAGGATGGCGGGCCCCATGCAACAACCCAAACCATCCTGGTTGCAACGAGCGCCGTTCGGAACGGCTGCGGGTGGAATACTTCGGCCCGAGAGCTCCTCATATCTCCTTGGAGTTGTGGCCCGCGCGCTCTGGCGACGGAGACGTTGCTTCGCGCAAAAAAGTACGAGCCTACGTTGGCGGAGCTTCGCGAGTTTATTGGAGAGGATTGACGCGCCCAATGCTGGGCAACAGCTTGCGCTGAGATCTCACCACCATCACCATCAACATCACCATCACCAAAACATCATGAGGGTAGAGCGGGCGACATGGGGGTGACGGGACGAAGGAGGAGGATGGGGGTGGAAGGGGTGGGACTATGATGGGCAAGGTAAGCGTGGAGGACACGAGAAAAGCAGAGAGCTCTGGCCCATAATGTTACGTGCAAGTCCCCGTGCGTGTGCGATGCAATCCATGGCCCTGAGACCCCCACGAATCCCTTCGCAGCTCCTGGGCAAGCCCCGTGATGAAGTGCCAGCGCATTCGAAGGCTTACGCCTCCCCGCCACCGTCGACCGTCGGCCTTCTAATTTACTCCCCCGCAAAAGGAAAATGCAGTGTACAGTATCAACTTGTCACTGGAACAAGCTCCGCGCCAATAACTGTCAATGACATCGGGGGGCCCGCATCGGCCGCCATCATCGTCGAAACCGTGTCCTGCCCACAACACAGCACGCACGAACGCCAAAGTTGCCGTCGAAATCGCCATCACGCGGGCGTGGGACACCACGAAAGGCAAACAACATCATCACGAAGTGCGCCCACCGCCCATCACAAACACGCTCTGGCACACGACCCAGAACATCTGCAATGCCCAACAGCGGCACTCTGCAACTTTGGGCCGCGCGAAATTTGCGCGAGGCGTGGGCTTCCAGCCTTCGAACAACCTTGGGTCCTGCTCGCAGCTGTCCAACCATGCCAATTATCCCGCGCAACGCCATCTACTGCACGTAGCGCTCGGCCTGCCTGCATCGCAGCGCGTTGTTTGCACCGCCAGCCACCGCGCCCGCACCAACCCAGCTTGCGCGCGTCCTGGGGCTTCGCGCGGTAATTGGGCACGCAACCATTGCGCCCCGAACGCACGGCCAACATGGACGCGCACGTGCTCGGGTTCACGCCGCGCCACTGGCGCGCGCGCGCGCCTCTGATGGCGAAGCAACAAATGGCCTCGCATTATGGCGCCAACGGGCACTCCATTAGCACGCGTGTGCGACATGCGGTCTGCCGCCCAGTTGGCCGAGAACGCGCCGAGCGACTTTACGCAGGCGCGCTACTAAGCACGCGTACGTGCTTATTTGTTCGTCCCTTGGACGCCAGGCCCCCTAGCAACGGTGGGCGCGCATTGACATCGGTGGGCGACGTGGCGCGCCCGCGGAACAAAATCGCTGCCGCCCTGGAACGTCGTCGGGGCCACGTTGTCTTGCAATGGCCCGCGTGATGGGGCCCGCGCGTGCAACCGCGCGGCGATGCGATCCCGAATGAACCCCGCGCCCGCCCACATGGAGAATGACGCATTCGCTGAATACGTTTACCAGAGTTGCGTACAAGTCGCGCTTGCGCGACACAGTGCCGGGGAAGTTGCGCGCAGCAGGCGTGCAGTGCAGCGACCCAACGCTGGATGCAGTGTTCAGCGGGGTGGTCGGCTTTCACACCTCGCAAGCCCATGTTCAGTGGTGGTCAGGGGCGCGCGGCCACCTAATGTCGCGCGGGCAAGCGGCCCTGATGGCGCTCGCCCACCCTCAGCGGGTACTGGCGAAACGGTGGGCGCCACCCAATTCTCGGAAATACACCAGCGCCAGCGCAGTCGCGATTGGGTGGCTGGGGGTTGGCGAGGGTGATTGCGGTGGCGGCGGGGGGGGGGGGGGGGGGGGGTGGGGGGTCGGGGGGGGGGTGGAGGGGGGGTGGTGGGGGTGGGGGTGGGCGGGGGGGGGGGGGGGTGGGGGGGGGGGGGGGGTGGGGCGGTGGGGGGGGGGGGGGGATGCGGCGGGCGGGGGAGGGGGGTCATGCGCGCCTTCTTCGTGGCGAGGTGGTACTGGGGGTGCGGTGAAGACGTGGGCGTGCGTGTTCGTGGTGGTTGTGTGTGTGTGTGGTGGTGGTTTGGTTGTGGGTGGGTGAGGGGGGGGGGGGGGGGGGGGGGGGGCGTGGGCTTGGCGTGCGTGGGTTTGGCTGCCTTCCCGCGCCGAGCCCGATTGCCATCGCATCGTGTTGTCGCCCTCTGCCGTGGTTTCCTATGGGGTTCCCAGTCGCGCGCCACTTGCAGATCCCAGAGAGGACCAGCCCTTTGCTGCAGAGCACATGCGATGCCCACTGCCTGATTAATTGTCGCTCGGGCAGCTCGTTCGTGACGTCCCGCTGCAAGCAGCACTGGGTTCATTTGCTCTCTGCTCGCGCCGTGCCCGAATGCCCCCGCCTCGTGTCGTCCCTTGGCCAATGCGCTCCATCGCCAGCGCTCTTGGGCATCCTGCGAGACAGCCACAGGTGCCTTAGGCGGAACACGCGGCGACCCCTTCCCTCCTTGCCACCTCCACCCACGCCCGCAACCGCCGCGCAACCCACCGACCTCGCCGCGGGGCCGACGGCGCGCCTCGCACGCGGGCCCAGCGGACGCGCGACAAACGGCGCTCACAACGGACGGGCGTTGCGTCGGTGCCTGTTGTGGCAAACCTACTGCCAGACCACGTCCGCGTTGCATCATGGACAGCCCGCGCCCACTTCGCTACAACAACAACGTGCCGTCGCCGCGGCCCACGGCGACGAGCAGATCTCGGGATGTGTGCGTGCGATGTTAGGATGCCAGCGCAACTGCGTTGTCGCCGCGTGCGACGTTGCGCAGACATCGCGCGGCGGGGGTTGGATGGGCGGGATGGTGTGTATGTGTGTGGCGTGTGTGTGCGTGTGTGTGTGTGTGTGTGTGTGTGTGCGTGTGTGTGTGTGTGTGCCGCGAGCAGGCGCCCGCTGCGCCCCATCGTTCGAAGTGGCCTGGCGTCTGCCTGACAAGCAGCGGGACCGCGGCCTCACGCGCCAATTCCAACGTGATGCATGCCCCGCCAGCTGGCTCGCGCTCGTTGATGCAGAGGGTCAGTCGGGTTGAGGCAGCGCCCCCGGGGCTCGTCCCATCGGATCCCTTGGACATCGGCGAGCGGACAACAACTTACGCGCGCGCCCACTTGGACCGCGTCGCGCAGCGGGCGGCCCCGATGCACCCGCTGCGCAGGCGGCCCCTTGCCAATCGGTCGGGGCACCTGGCATTGGATGGCCCGACATCGGCCCCAACCCGTTGGCGGCGGTTGCAAGGGTTCTCGCGCGGGGGGCGCGCGCGTTTGTTTGGCTTCCGATTTCAACAGCCAGCGGCAAGCTGCGCGGCCGCGAGCGCGCACCCGCCCGCGCCATTGCATGAGCGGGCTCGCGATTTCATCGCGCGGCTCACTTTGCCACCGACGAGATGGCGCATTCGTCTCGCGTGTGGCGTGGGAAACAGCGCTGGCGACTAGGTCCCAGCCGCGCAATCATCGGGGTCGCTGATGCGCGCGCGCGCGCCTGCACCACGGCCCTCTAACTGGGGGCCGTCGCGCGGCGTGCGAAAACGAGCGCGCGGCCCGCGGCGCGCGGGCGAAGTTCGCCATCTGTGTCAGGGTGGCAACACACTCGTCGCACGCGCGAATGGCGCACGGAGCCATCCGCCCAAAACGTGCTCAGAAAATGCCGTGCCCGCGGGCTCGGACGCGGAGGGGGGGGGGGGCACCCGCCCCGTCGCCTCAGGCAGATTACATAGCAAAATTCGGCGCGCACGCTGCGCGGAAATAGTTTCTCGGCACATTTTCTATAGGACGTGACAGGTGACGCCCGCGGGGTCTGCAGCATGTGTGTTTTTATACATGGCGAGACGCGTCGCCATTTGCAGTTTACAGGGCGCGCGCCATTGCCAAAACAAGATTATGACACAACAAAAAAAGTTTAGGACCTGCGTTTCATTGCCAACGCCTGAGTATGGCTGCGTGGTCGCTGGGTCTGGCGCCAAGTCGGCGGGGGGGGCGTGCGGCGGGCTGCGCGAGGGAACGCCCCGCCTCAACCGCGCGCGCCGTGCGCGGGGCGCGTGGGCGACTCGCGCGCAGGGCCGTCAAGCGCATTGAAGCGCGTCGGTCGCGCTTGGGCCTGGGGCGTGCGCGGCGCACTTTCGCGTGGCCAACGCGCTGTCATCTGCGCGCCCGAAACGTGCGCTCGCGTCGGGATTAGGCCATGCAGCGACCTCGACGCCCCCATGTGGGTCGCGCGGGAACGGGGTAATTTGCCCTGGGCGCCGCCGTCGACCGTCGTGCGGCAATGGGGGAAACGCGCGCGCGCTCGGCTTCTGCGCTGGGCTGCGCGCGCACAGACCTGGTGCGCAGGCCGCGCAGAGCCTGGATGGGGCATGTGTGTACTGTCAGCGTTGCTGCGTTGCCCACCGCCAGAGCAACAACCAACTTGCTGCACGGCCTGCGTGCATGTGTCATGGGCTCCTGAACACACGTGTTGCAATGCGCGACCGACGTGGGGTTACGCATAGGTGCTGCCTGGCCCAAGGCAAGGTTCAACAGCGCGCGGGGCCAGTTCAAACCACGCAACGCCAGCTGAAACCACCGCAAAACCAGACCGAGACCACCCACAACCAGTTAAAACAACCAACAAGACTTGTTGAAACCACACAAAACCAGTTGAAACCACCCACAAAACTTGTTAAAACCACACCAAACCAGTTGAAACCACTTCAAACCCATGTGGGACCACTAATGGGGTTTGCGCACGGCGGTGCGCCGACACCGTGTCGAACCCGCACAAAACCATTCGAAACCACCGCAAAACCATGTTGAAACCACCCAAAACCAGTTAAAACCACCAACACGGCTTGTTGAAACCACACAAACCCAGTTGAAACCACCCACACAATTTGTTAAAACCACCCGAAACCAGTTGAAACCACCGCAGAACCATGTTGAAACCACCCACACGAAACCACGCGAAACCATTTGAAACCACCAACAAAACCATGTTGAAACCACCCGAAACCAGTTGAAACCAGCGCAACAACATGTTGAAACCACCCAAAACCAGTTGAAACCACCGCAGAACCATGTTGAAACCGCCCAAACCAGTTAAAACCACCAGCAAGGCTTGTTGACACCACACAGAACCAGTTGAAACCACCCACAAGACTTGTTAAAACCACGCGAAACCAGTTGAAACCACCAACAAAACCACGTTGAAACCACCCTAAACCAGTTGAAACCAGCGCAACAACATGTTGGAACCAGCCAAAACCAGTTGAAACCACCGCAAAACCATGTTGAAACCACACAAACATATTCAATGCAGTGCGTGTTGCGCGGAAACAACAGCAACCAATAGTGGTGCGAGCACGCCGTTGGCTTCGCGTGTCATGTCACCATCAGCCACGCGTCATGTATTTATAACCCATGCGACCATGTCAAAGTCAATACCATATCTGTTGTACAACGGCGCGTGGCCTGTGGCCACTGGCAATAAGTAGGGCACGCGCGTTATAGTGTGGAGTTGTCGGTCGCACGATGTGCACATATATCGTCATGCGTTTGGAGTCATAACAAACACATGGTAGCGTGAGCAGCGCACACTCGCGTGGACACAATGGTTATAGAACAGCTACCAACACACCTCCATCAAACATTGTACGCCGCCGGAGCCCGAGGCCTCCCATTCCTGTGGCGAGCGTTCTCTTCCCGTGCCCATCTGCTGCCGTTTTGGCTGTTCGAGGGTCTGCTGAGCGCCCCTTCCTTCCTAGAGGCAGCTTTTTTGCTCGGAACCAAGAATATAAGGGATGCCACCTAACCAATTTCACCGCCTTCAGTCGTGGCGTACGCGGCGCCTTCGGACCTTGAGCAAGCGGCGCAAGGTGAACAAGTTGAGGCTGAAATTTGGGAAGAGGCGCAGCGCCACTCTCCGCAATAAACTTACCCAGGTTGTGGCAGCTATTACCAAGTGCCCTCAGTTGGACGGTGCCCAGCAGCACGTCAATGAGGATCGCCTGGCAGTGGTGGAAGCCGAGAGCGAGGAGTTCTGAGAGCACGCCGTGCTTCCACAAGCATGTCGCCAAGGCCCAAGGCCCTGTTGTTCAGTACATTTGCAGGTGGCAGTGTTGGAACAGAGGGGCTGTATCCCTGCTCGCTCACCGATCTTGCTCCTCCGCGTCGCCCCTGCCCCGCTGTGCTCTCTCGCGCGGCTTGCGTAGCATGCGCTTGGCTATATTCGTTTGAAAGAGTTTGCTCCGAACCGACATTCGGAAGTTGAGCCGTGTCGGGAATCAGCTGGCGCCCATCGCCATCGTCCCAGCATAGGGCGCCCCTCCAACATATACGCCCTCCCGCTCCTCCTCCCCCCCCCCCCCCCCCCCCCCCTGCTCCTTGCAACCCCGCTCTTCCCTGAGTAGTCATAGTTGTAGGTGTACTTGTTTGTATAATAGAAGTAGCACTAGTAGCAGTAGCAGCCGCAGTCTCATTAGCAGTAGCAGTAGTCTTAGTAGTTGCAGTTGTGGTGGTACTGTTCGTATTACCAGTAGTAGTAGCCGTAGCGCTGGTAGTAGTAGTAGTTGTTGTTGTTGTAGCGGTAGCCGTATAATTAGGTATAGTAAAAACTGTAGTAGTAGTAGTAATCGTCGTGGCCGTGGTGTTAGCAGTAATAGTCGTAGTAGTGGTAGAAGTAGTCGTCGTCGCTGCAGTCGCCGTATGAGTAGTAGCCGTAGAAGTCGTACTAGTAGGTGCCGTGGTAATCGTAGTATTGGTAGCCGTACTGAGTATTATTAGTAGGAGTCGTTGTAGACGTTGTCGTCGTAGACGTCGCCGTCGTAGTAGTCGTATTCGTAGTAGTAATATTAGTATCGATAGTAGTAGCAGCAGTCGCAGTAGCAGGGTTAGTGGTAGTAGTGCTGGCTGTGCTATTAGTATGGGTACTAGTAACAATACGGGTGGTACTAGTAGTCGTAGTAGTCGTAGTAGTAATAATGGTAGTAACAGTAACAGTATGAGTAGTAGTATGATTCGCAGCATCAGAGCAATCATGTTCGTAGTAGACGTCGTCGCAGTAGCAGTAGTACCAACAGTCGTGGTAGGAATAGCAGTAGACGCCGCAGTAGTCGCAAGAGGAGCTGGAAGAGGAGGAGGGGCCCAGGGGGGAGGGGAGGGGGGCGATGAGGACGACAGGAAGGATGAGGAGGATGAGGAGGATGAGGAGTAGGAGGAGTGAGAATAGGCGTAGCAGTAGTAGTAGTAGCCGTCTTTGTAGGAGGAGAAGGCGGAGGAGGAAGAACGAGGATTGGGGGTGAGGGGGATGGAGGAGGGCGGACTGTTCTCACACACAGAACTGGTCAAGGGGGTACCACCCTGCCATGTTAGCATATCGTGGCATGCGTCACTTGTTTCTCCTTAGCCAGTTTGATTCAAGTCTTGAGCCTGGCTTGCCCCCTGCCTGGGCGTTCGCGGCTCCCGCCAGTCAGCAGGACAACCTGGGATGGCTGGCTCGGCGCGCTCCGACGAGGAGATGGTTGGCGACGTGGAGGAGACGCCGACGGCGCCAAGGAGGGCTTCGGCTGGTTCTAGGCGCGACCCTGGCGGCGCCCCGGCTTCGAGAGCACCGTCGACGAGGGCAGCCGACGAGATGAGCGAGGCGGACGACGCGTGCTGCTACTTGTGCGAGGAGCCCTTAGAGGGGGATCAGAACGTGAAGGTCTACTTCGGCGAGCAGTTGCACTCCGAGTGCCTCAACGCCGCGCGCTTCAGGCGCAGGCTTGTTCAAGGCCTGCCGAGGAGCAGGGGGGAGGGGGGGGGGGGGGCGAGGCGGAGGGGACCAAGCAGCAGGAGCAGGAGCAGGACCAGGAGGAGGATGCGGAGGGGAGGGGGAGGAGGAGGAGAGGAGGAGGAGGAGGAGGAGAGGAGGAAGGAGGGGGAGGAGGAGGAGGAGGAGGAGGAGGAGGACGGGAAAGGAGGAGGAGGGGAGGAGGGAGGAGGAGGAGGAGGGGGGGGAGGAGGAGGAGGAGGAGGAGGAGGAGGAGAGGAGAGGAGCAGGAGGCAGGAGGAGCAGGAGGGGAGGAGGATGAGGGGCGAGGGGGGGGGGGGGGGGGGGGGGACTCCCCCCCCCCCCCCCGAGATTCGAGATTCGGTGTCTTTACAACCAGAGCAACCACTCTACAACCAGATGGGTTACTGCACAACCAACATAGGATTGGAAAGTGTGGTTTTTTTTTTCAGCGAGAACGTCCACTTTGCAACCAGAGCAGCCCACTTTACAACCAGAACGGACCACTTTACAACCAGAGCGGGCCACGTTACAACCAGAACGGACCACTTTACAACCAGCTCAGAGTGGCCGTGCGTGTTTGGGCGTTCCGCACAGTGCCCCAGAGCAGGTGGGCGCTCTGAAAAATGCTCCAGGGCGCGCGGGCGCTCTGAAAACTGCTCCAGAGCACGTGGGCGCCGAGCGCCAGAACGCTCTGCGCAGGCCCCAGCGATGTCTCTGAGCGGTTTCCATTCCCGCTGGGCGCGTTCTCCGTTGACGTGCCTTACTTCCATGTCTACCTACTGGGGCGTGTCCACCTCCGCGGTCACCGCCATGTTCAAGACGGCGGTCGGGGTCTTCACCAACGGCCTCGTATTGAACCCCTTCGACTGCAGTTTCCACTGCAACCCTGCTACCGCCACACTTATCGCTGCAGCCCCGCTACCTCCACAATTCTGACTGACCCCCCGCTACCACCACATATCCCATTGCAGCCCAGCTACCACCACAGTTCCCACCGCTGCCTGGCGACCACTACAGTTGCCACCGCAGCTTCCCAACACCATGCAGTTCCCATTGTAGCCCCCGCTACCACATCTCCCACTACAGCTTCCCACTGTCATGCATCTCCAGTCTTGGACCGGATCATGGTTTATTCGTATGTCCTGCGCGAGTGGCCTTCGTCTGTCAGACAAAGGCAGAGCAAACAATGGCAGAACTGACCGACAGAGCTTAGAGAGCAGGTCAAAACCAGAACAGGGGGCCCCCCCCCCCCCCCCCCCCCCTTCCCCACCCCCTTCCCCCTCGCCCGCCCCTGGGCAGTCCGGGGGCGGACATGGGTCAGCAGGACTTCAAGGGGGACGTCGGCAAGTGGCGCGCCAGGCACCTGGTGCTCGTGGACACCAAGAAGCGTCGCGCGGAGATCGACGGGCTCAAGAGGAAGGTGAGCTGCATCAAGTACGAGGGCACGTTCGAGAAGGCAACCTCGGGGAGGGGCGACCTGATGCTGACTCGCAAGCGCTTCAAGGCCTACATGGGCTTCTGGGAGCAGATGTCCGAGGAGGAGTGCGACGCCGAGTTCGACAGCCGCTTCGACAAGGGCCCGAGGCGCGACAGCGACGTCGAGCAGGTGGTCAAGACCAGAGGGAACAGCGTCAACGGCACCTGGAGCGGCATCCGCAACGAGAACGGCCAGAAGACTGAGGATGCTGACTCGGATGGACTTGGCGATGAAGACGGTCCCCAGCCTGGCCTCCCGCGCAACGCTGCGGACGACGCGTCGAGCGCGTCTGGCCGCGCCGCCGTCAAGAGCCCAGCGAGTCGCCTTGGCACTCCGACCTCGGGTTCTGGAGCGGTTGGCGGGCGCGTTCGTGGAGGCCGCGCTTCCCGTGCTGACCCCCCCATGGGCGCGCGCGCCAAGCACCTCGAGAAGAAGCAGGAGCTCGTGCCGACCGCGAAGGAGATGACGAAGCAGTTCCAGGGCAAGTCGACTCCCCCCGTGAAGGTGGGGAAGTTCAAGGCCAAGCACGTGGGCCACCCAGACTTGCCAGCTGACGTCGACGAGGTCATCGGGAAGCTGACCGAGAAGACGAAGGCCGCCAGGGAGTTCGCCACGCGGGTCGGGAGGGCCAAGGAGGGCACCATCGACCCCTTGGACGTGGAGCGCAAGACGTTGGCTGATGACATCGCCACGGCGATGGGCGACGGCCGCAGGCTGCTCCAGAGCCTCGAGATCATCGACGGCCAGGTGTCCAGGACAAAGAGGGCCTCGCACTTGCACGATCGCCACCAGGTCGCCAAGGCTCCGTGGGAGGTGGAATAGGAGGAGGAGGAGGAGGAAGGAAGAGGGTGAGGAGGAGTAGGATGAATGAGGATGGCTGAGGAAAGGGGGGGGGGGGGGGGGGGGGGGGGGATGACGAGGATAAGGAGGTGGAGCCCACGAGGAAGGTGGCCACGAGCGGGATGGAGGATGAATTGGAAGATGAGGGCACAGATGGAGGGGGGGGCCCTTGAGAGGATGATGATGGGGGAAACGCCAAGCGAGCACGAGGACGAGAGGGGGGAGGAGCAGGGGGAAGAGGAGGAGGAGAAGGACGAGGAGGAGGACGAGGAGGAGGACGAGGAGTAGGACGAGGAGGAGGGGGAGGAGGGAGGAGGCGGAGGAGGAGGAGGAGGAGGGGAGGACGAGGAGGAGGGGGAGGAGAAGGAGGAGGGAGGATGCCATCGCCGTCCTCAATAGGGGCGGAAGGGCAGGAAGGGAGGATGAGGCGAGGGAGGAGGGAGGAGAGAAGAGGGGAGGGGGAAGGGAGCGATGAGAGGCCGAGGGGGGTAGGGGGGAGGTCGGGCGATGCGGGGGGGAGGAGGAGGGGGAGGATGAGGGGGAGGATGGGGGGAGGTGGAAGAGCAGGCGGGGGATGAGGAGGCTGCTGCGCCGCGAGGGGGCATGGGCCGAACCGAGGACAAGGAGGAGGAGGAGGAAGAGGAGGATGGGGGGGAGGAGGAGGAGGAAGAGGAGTAGGATGAGGACGATAAGGGGGAGGAGGAACATGAGAAGGAAGAGGGGCAGGACGAGGGGGGGGAGGAGGAGGAAGAGGGGCAGGAGGAGGAGGACGAGGAGGAGGAGTGAGGTTTTGTTTGGCCACTGTGCGCGCCTGCCCCCCTATCTGCCCAGGTGGGCTCTTCGCTGGCTGGCAAGACGTTCCCCCGTCCAGATTGCGAAGCTGGTGGCACTTTCCATCGCGAAGGTCTGGTCCGCGGCCGTGGAAAAGATCGACCCCGCCGACCTCGACTCAGTGGCGGATGCGCCGTGCTCTGCCCCCAAGGTGGCCGCGCTGGGAGACGTCGTCGTGGACGCCGCCTTCGACGAGAGCGCATTCGACCACAAGAGGTTCTCGGCGTGGTCGAAGCCGCCAGAGTTCTTCAGCGACGCGGCGTCGAGCCTCGAGGGCGACTTGAAGCTCAAGACCAAGCGGCTCACCGAGAAGATGGCCATCAACACCGAGTGGCTCGGCGCGCAGTGCAAGCTCGACACCGATTGGCTCGGCGCGTAGCGGCCCCATCAAGGGCTCCACGGGCTTCGCGGCGTTCGTGGCGACGGTGGCCAGGAACGCCCTGCGCTTGGGGCCAGCTGCGTTCCCGTTGCCAGTGGCGGCGATCTTCGCCACGCCTGTGTCCCACGATGTGTTTTTCGTCTTCTGGAGCGCGGAGGCCATCCTGAAGCAGGGCATCGCGCTCACCGGCGCCAGGGCGTTCCTGTCGGGCGAGTCCGCGGATGCCTTCATCACAGACTCCGAGAACGTTGTCGTGATCTTCGCGCCCAAGGGGTCGATGATCTACGTGCCCTGGGGTTGCCCCCCCCAGCCTGTCTTCTACTTTCCTGGCCAGAAGAACAAGGAGTGCGACGCGTTCCAGCGCATCCTTCATATCCCGAATATGGCACAGGAGCACGCCAGTGCCATGAGCGACGATTTGCAGAAGGCTGCGATGCACTTGAACACCTCGTACCTTTCGACGATGGAGGGCCAGCAGTGGAAGGGCAGGAAGGCCAAGTGGGAGCAGTTCTGGACTGAGGCCGGGGCTGCGCCGCGAAGGTCCAACCTGCTGGCCATCAGGGGTCGGCGCAGAGAGAGGTGGTGACGGAAAGTAGGATGAGGGTGAGTGCGGTGGTATCCGTCCTTCGTGCTCTTCGTGAGGGATGGAGGCTGGATCAACTGCTGAGTGCTCTGTGCTTCTGTCTTTGCAGTGCCTCGCGGGCGTGCTGCATGTCTTAGTTGAGCGACCGTCGCTCGCAACGGTAAGTTCAGTTGAACGGGGTAGTGTGGCGCGCGTGCCAGCGCAACTCTCGCTTGGGGTATGCCAGTCGTTCGGGTAATGAGCGATCTGGCAAATCAGACTTTCAGTCTGACCTCATGGCTGATGCCGTGAACTTTCACAGCCATGGGGCGGGTGCCTGAATAGATTCGCATGTGGCGTCGGGGGTCAGCATAACATAGAATCGCACATGCCAAGACGCGCCGCGCGAATGTTCAACAGGCAGCGGCAGTTTGGAAGCCACGTCGGACTTCGCGCTGGATGACAACCAGCCCGCTGTTGAAACTACGACCGAGGGAGGGTGAGGAGCTCGAGGGAGACGAAGAGGAGGAGGGGGAGGAGGGCGAGGAGGGACGGTGGGGAGGGAGAGGAGGCGGGAGAGGAGGAGGAGGAGGAGGAGGGGGAGGATGAGGGAGGGGGGGGGGGGGGGGGTGGGAGGGAGAGGAGGAGGATGAGCATGGAGAAGGAAATGGAGGTGGAGGGTCGGGCCGTCGCAGTCAGCGGCACGGCTCTAGGCCCGCCGATCGCCCCCCGACGTCAGCCCCCAGGGAGGCGCGACTGACCCCCGTGGAGAAGGTCGCTCTGGATCGGGCGGCTCGGCGCGAGAGAATCAGGGGGGGGCGCTGTTTGGAAGGCTCGCATTTCTCTTCCTGCTCATTTCCTCGGCGTCCTACTCTTCCACCTTCTCGTCCTCCGTCGCCGCCCTGGTTGTCAGACCCACCTTCAGCAACCTCCTACCCTGCCCTCGTCGTCCTCCTCGTCCTCGCCCCTCTTCGGACGCAAACCTGGTCGTGTTGGGCCTCCGCTCGCTCGTGACTGCTGCCACGCTTACAACAAAATCAGGTTCGACAATGTCGTATGCCGCCACCTCGAACTGGCGGCTGCGGACTTTCAAAGCTTGCGTTGCCGTCTCCCGCCCAACCGAAAGGAGGCGATGGGGGGGGGGGGGGGGGGGGGGGGCAGGGCAGGCGGGGGCGGGTTCGCGCTTGGCCCCAGGGGGCCAGAGTGGAAACGTCGACGGGGGAAACGCGCGGCAGCAACGCAAGTTTTGAAAGTCCCAGGACTGGGCCGAAGTAGAAGATGGCGACTGGCATCAAGTGGTCGGAGCCCGTCGTGGGTCTAACATATGCGGCGTCTTTTTTCTTGAACTATGATGGGGGCTATTAGGACTGGTGGGCTGGGATCTACAATGGCCCCCCAGGGTGGTCGACCGACCGCCATGCTGAGGAGCTGGAGAACAGCCCCCCCCCCCCCCCCCTCGCGGAGCCAGATCTTGAGGCAATGATTGGCTGAGCGCCACTATGGCGGGGCGCGTCGGGGACGGGGCACATGCCATAACTGGGGCTAGAGAAGCGGCGGGGGCTGGAACTAAGAGGAGGAGGAGGCGGAGAGGAGGAGGAGGAGGGGGAGGAGGAGGAGGGAGAGGAGGAGGAGGAGGGGGATGAGGTGTCCGCGGCCGCTTTGGTTCAAGACCAACGGCGCCCAGGCTGTAGCCAGGAGACGCTAGGCGATGGCTGCGTAGCGCGCGGCGTGATTATCGCCTCGCGGGGCATGATGCCCATCACCGATAAACGTAATCATGCTGATGTTTGCGTGGTATGTAGCGTGGGCTACTTTCACAATGATGCACCTGGCGATGTGTATGAGATGTCTCTGTACAGGGAGCGCAGTGCACTATCTACGGTGTCCCCGAACTAAGAGCGCGATTCTTTGACTAGGCACAAGGGTAGATAAGGACAGTATGACCGCGAGCCCATGTCTTAGCAGTGCTCTCGGCCGACTTCCCGAGCTGGCGCCTCGCTGTTGTCTACCGCCTGTTGTGGAAGGACCGCGGGGCACTTCGCGATGGGTTTCGCCGGGAGCTGGAGGATGCAGCGCGGGGCTGTCCGCCAGAGTCGTGGTTTCTCGTCGGAGGTGATTGGAATTTCCAGATGGGCCCATCAGAGGAGTCTTCGTCCGGCCTGGGGCGGTATTCCACGAACGTGCAGAAACAGGCCGGGGCCGATCTGGAGCACTGGGCATCGGGCATGGGATTCGCGTTTTTTGATTCTCATTTCTCTATGCGCCACAGAGGCACGTGGCGGCACGGCAAGGGTCGCACTTGGCACGAGATAGATGGCTTCTTCGCGAAGGCCACTGGCTGGCCGACCAGAGTCCGATCTGTCCAAGTGGATTGCTCGGCGCGCATCGGGGGCCACCTGCCGAAGGTTCTGCGCGCGCGCCGGGCGCTCGGCCAAGCCGGCGAGGGACGTCCTCGGGCTCGCTCTCTGCAGCTCCCCGCGTTGCATTTGAGAGGCCGCGGGAACCAGACATTGCCGCACGGTGCGATAATGAGACCAACTTTGCCGGGAGGAACCCGGCGCGTGAGTAAATTGCCGGATGCGCGCAGGAGACGGGCCGCAACGTCCTTGGCGAGACCCGCCAGTTCGCAGCTTTGTTGCGGATGTCTGGCCATCGCGCTGAGGCGCCCCGGCGTAGGGGCACGATCGGCGAGTGGGCAACGCGGAGGAGATCTGCAGCTAACGATTCCGAGTTGCAGACAGCACTATCGGGGCTCCGCCGCGCCCGCGCGGCACACAGACGAGGCAAGCGACGCTGGCAGCGAGCGCGGCGTGATCAGTTATCAGATGAGATAGCTGCTGCCGAGGCCAGGGGCGACGACAGGGCTGTCAGCGCGGGCCTCAAGCGTGCTCGCGCAACTGGCCAGCGGCGGCCCCCGCCCGCGACGGTCGAGCAGCCGGCGCCCGTCGCGGCCGCGGTTGGGCAGGACAGGTGCGAGCGCGCAGAGGCCGAGATCGAAGACGCCATTGGACGCCTTCGGGACCGACGGGGACATCCTCGATTCAAGGTTGCTGCCGTTCGTCTTGGCCAGCCTGCAGAAGGTTGTTTTCGATTTGGCGCGGCGCTTTCGGGGCGATCTTGAGGGGGGCTGGGAAGAGCTCGCGTGGGCCAGTTTCATGGCGCCTCTCTTTTGCAAGAAAGGTTCGCGGAAGGATCCCAATATGTGCCGGATGGTGTGTTCATCGTCGATGATCGCCCGGACTGTCGCCCGAGCGTTCGCCGCGCGGTTCCGGCACGGGAACGAGGAGACTCGAGTGTTGGGGGAGTGGCAGCAAGGTTTCCGGGGGGAGTGGAGCACCCGGGACGCCGCTGGCGTCGCCCTTCGCACGTGCGAGGAAGCGGAGGAGGTGCTGGCCGAGCTCTCCGCCGCCCGTGGCCGCTCGACCTGTCTTTCGGGCCCCGCGAGGGAGCTGGCGGACCTTGGAGTGGCCCCTCTTGACCTTGGCGAGGCATGCCCCCGCGCAAATCGCCCGCTACAGGGGGGAACCTCAGGCGGAAGGCTGTTCCAGAGCATGTGCTGTCAATCATTCGTGCCCCCGTCATGAGCGTTCTTCCTATCGCGCGCGCTCGGGGCGCCAGGGCGGGCCGTCTTTCCACCCTCGCAGAGGCCTGCGGGGGGGATGCGCGAGCAGTCCTTTTCAACCTCTTCCATGCGGAGTCCACGACGACGGCCCGGTCGCGTCGCCACCAGTCGGCGCAGGCCTCCGACACTCTTGTCGGCGTACTTTGGGCGCGGCGCCCGGGCGCGCTCAAGCCGAGTCTCCGGGGCAATCGGAGGCGGCTGATCGGCCTTCAGCGCGCGCGGTTCGAACGCATCCTGTTTGCAGAGGACGCGACCCTCAGGCGCGAGCGGCGGGAGGCTGCTGATGCCGAGCGCACAGCGGCGCAAGGCTCATGGTTTTTTGAGGGGGAGACCGATGCAGGCAAGACAGAGCACGTTTGGTTTACGGCAGACGACCCGGGCACGCGCGTGCTTGGAGCGTGGACTTCTCGGCAGGTTGACGACAAAAAGAGGGCATCTCGCTTTTGGAAGGCTTGGCATGGACTCCGGAAGAGAGTTTCGAAAGCCAAATTGTCGCCCAGGCGCATGGCCTATTACATTCAATCGGCGGTTGCCGCTTCAGTTCTGCTTTGGGCGGAGTGCCGGGCGTGGAACGAGGGGGAAATGCAGCGGCTCCAACGGCTATTCGACTTGCGCGGGCGCTACGCGCGGGGCGCAGCGCACGGGGGCCGAGAGGGCCTCCGGTGCGACCTCCAATCTCTAGTCGGCATGGTGGCGCCAGGGGGATAAGCTGCATGGTCTGTGCGGAGCCCAACCGACCAAATCGAGATACTGGCGTTTACTTCTTCGTAGAGCGGGCATTGGCCCCGATTATCTGAACCTCGAGGCTACGGGCCTGGAGCTGCGGCGCGCCGTCGTCCAGACACACTGCGCCGAGCTCGACGCCGCTGACGCGAATGCTGCTATTTGGAATCGTCATGGGCGCGACCTTCGGCGACCGGCAGGAGCGGAGCCACGCGGCGTCCTGCGCCGACACGCCGCCACTGCTGCTGATGCTGTTGCTCCTCCTCCCCCCGCCCCTCCTGCCCCCACTCTCTCCTCTGCCCCTCCCCCTGCCCCTCCGCCCCCCCCTCATCCCCTGGCGGCGGCGGGCGGGCCGGGCAGTGGCGCGCCGTTCTGGTGCACTCAGGCATCGAGAAAATTTGTCCCAGTAAGCTGTCGTTGTTCAGTCATGTTGATTTGCTCCACAGGCGTGCAGACGCGGCGCCGTTCCCGAAAGGATGTGGGAAACTCTTCGAAACTGCCGGGATGGCCACCAATCGCGCCCGGACTTGCGCTGGAGACGGGGCGGCCACGGCGGCGGCAAAGAGAGCCAAGCGGGCGGCTCAGACGGCGGAAAGGCGGGTCGCCAAGGCCAAGGCCAAGGCTAAGGCGCGACCCAGGTCCAAGACCAAGGCCCAGGCGAAACCCAAGAGCAAGGCGAAAGCCAAGGCCAGCCTGAACGCGGTCCGGCGCCGGCCTGCGGCTGCATTCGCGATGACGTTCCGCATTGCGGTGGCGCGCGGGTCTGGGGCCTACGGCCTTGATTCTGCGCGCCGCGCCGCGCCACCAGGCCGGCTCGGCTGCCGCGGCGGTGGGCCGGCCAATCGGTGCACGGCGCCGGCTCCGCTTGGCGGGGGGGGGGCGTCGGTTGCCTCCGGCTGCCGCGGCGGCGGGGCGGCTGCCGAGTTTCGCGACCGTCTCAGTTAACGAAGACACGTGGGTGCATTTGTGGTCTGAATTGCGAGAGTATGTTTTAATTGCGCATTGTATACGCAACTCCTGCTCGAGGCCGCGGCGCGGCCCGCGCACGAGCGTTTGCATTTGTGGATTGGTGCCCCACGGGCGACCTGGCTAAAGTCATGCGTGCATGCTGCATGATCAGCAACTCCACCGCCATCGCAGAGGTCTTCTTGCGTATCGACCACCAGTTTGATTTCATGTTTTCGAAACGCGCGTTCGCGCACTGGTACGTGGGCGAGGGCATGGAGGAGGGTGAGTTCTCCGAGGCTCGCGAGGATTTGGCGGCGTTGGAGAAAGACTACGAAGAGGTGGGCATCGAGACCGCGGAGGGTGAGGGCGAGGAAGAGGGTTACGGCGACGAGTTTTGAGCAGGCTGTCAGAGGAGCAGCTATACAAGGGAGGCTGACCGAGGAGTCGCGATCAGGTCGGTGAGGGACGGCGTGCTTTCACAACTTCTCAAAAACTTGCGTGCTTCCTCGCAGTAGATCGGCGTGTCTTCCACGCTGCCCTCTTGTTCACTTGCACGACACATATTTGACTTTGGGTGGCCGGCTTGCCAGCTGCCTCGTGTCCCTACCACTTTGCCAACGCCCTTGCAGAGGACAATCCAACATAATGCCAGGGACAACTTTTTGTTGTTGGAAGGCTCTTCGGAAGAGACTACAAACACTGTTGCGCGCCTCAGCCATCTTACGTGGCTGTTCGTGCTGAAGCATTTTTCCAGCCGTAGAGGCGGGTGCCTTCGCAGTACTTGCTCGCGTCTGTTCTGAACGCGGTGCTGGATCACATTGCAGCATCGTTGATGTATCTTGGTTTTGTTCTGGTCCTCCTAACCTGCTGCAGCCAGTGCAATCGTCTCGCTAAGTTTAGGCGCAGAGGGCAGCCCAATTCTTGAAAAGGTTGATGTCTCTTGGTTTTGTTCTGGTCACCCTCCTAACCTGCTCCAGCCACGATACTCGCCCCGCCAAGTTCGAGCGCCGTGGGCATCCCAATTCTTAGAAAGTAAGGTGTGTGCGTGTGTGTGTGCTCAATGTGACAGGAGGCCGTGTTCGGGCAGCTTGGACGCGTCCCTCCATCAGTCGTCACCGTTTCTTCGAGCTCTCTCAGGCCGGAGCTGGTTGTCCCCACAGAGTTTGGCCCCTGACCTGCCGAGCGTGGCCACTGTTTCCTCCACCTGCCCCTGGCGCCTCGACACACGCCTGCCGAGCGTGGCTGTTGTTGCCCCACAGGTCCGGCGTCTTCCCGTCGCTGCCGCGGAGCGCGCGGCGTGCGCTCGCCAAGGACCGCGGGGGGGGCAGAGGCGGCAATGACCATTCCAGCCCCCCTCTGGACGTCGTCGTCGTGCTCCTCCTCCGGTGGATGGACCAAACGTGGACGCCCCGACCTCCACAGTTCGTGCGCGTCGGAAGGACAAACGCGCAGCACCATCGCTGGCATGCCTTTCACAAGCGCAGAGGGGGCAGCTGAACGTAGCAACCTGGAGCACAGTCGTTGGTGATGCAACTGTTCCGGCATGGCCGCTCCGTGCGGGACCCGTTCCTCGGCGAGACCAGAGGTTGCCAGGATGCGTTGTCGCACATGGTCGCTTTCGCGCGTGCGGCCCCGTTCGAACATCGTACGGCCACAGCGATCAGTTGGGAGGGCGTCGTTTCTCATCGATCAAGTGGGGCCCTCTGGTACCACACCTGGTTGTCGCCTCCAACACGGGCAGCGATGCGCCACTGGGTTTCCAGTGGTGGCCCGGCAGGGGGTACGGGCCAGTTCGGAGGAAGGGTCCAGGGGGGTGAGGAGGAGGAGGACGAGGTGGACGAGGAAGATACATGGGATGAGGAGGAGGTAGAGAGGAAAAGAGGGAAGAGGAGGACGGGAGAGAGGATTAGTAGGAAAGGAGGATGTGGACGAGGAGGACAAGAAGGAGGAGGAGGAAGAGAAGGAGGAGATGGAGAAGGAGGAGGAGGAGGAGGAGGAGTAGCCTCTTCGGCTCTCCCCTCATGCGGGGTCGTTGTGTGCTCCACCCATCTCGGGCAACTCTGCAGTTTTTTTGCGAGCCCCCCGAGGCCTTGTCTCCGTGCCCTTGGCGTTCTGTGTCGTCATGGGTTGGGGGGCGGAAACGTTAGTCGGGAGGCGGCGAGGAAGCGGGAGACACTAGTGGGGTGGTCGCAGTCCAGGCCTCCCAGATGTGGTCCGAGTAGGTGTGGTCGGTGGGTGTGGAGCTCGATTTCCTCCACGCCGATGGTGCCGTTGCATCACCGATGTCGCCGATGCATTGGCTGTGTTTTGAACCCCCTGTGCAAGGCCTCTACGTTAGCATGGCATTCAGTGCGTGCCCACGTAACTGTAACTGCGCGTCCATTCTTCACGCCTCGCTGTTTTCCCACTGGCTCGTTCGGGGCCGATGCCCAGGCGAGTTTATGCAGGTTAGGAGCCTCGTAGGGGCCGCCTGGAGCCATCGTAGCAGAAGGAGGAGGAGGAAGGAGGAGGAGGGAGGAGGAGGAGTTGGAGGAGGAGGAGGAGGAGGAGGAGGAGGAGAAAGAAGGAGGAGGAAGAGAAAGAAGGAGGAGGAGGAGGAGGAGGAGGAGGAGGAGAAAGAAAGGGACAAGGGGCAGGAGCATGAGGAGGCCTTCGCGGAACTTACGCTTTCAGAGTTCCTTGCAGGCCCTTGCAGCCATGTTGGGGTTCTCTTTGGGGCCCTCTTGCCTGGGGCTGTCGGGATCCTCTGGCGGCTCTTTTGGATGGCTGTCGGGCATTCTTGTGGATCGTTGGGGGCCT